AAAAATTTCTTTGTATGTAACCACTTCCAAGATGACCCAGATCTTTCAGAGCATCCACTATTCAACACAACTCATAAAAATCTTTTCACTCTCATCATACAATGAATCAGCAAAGGTTTTTGGAGTCAACTTCTTTTAAGAGTTACAACATAAATTCAGTATTCAGAATACACCAAACAGTGGTTTCAGATATAATGAAAAAAACACTACTGTGATGCTCTGATTAAACTACTTTGGTAACAGCAGTAATTTTGAGGAAGTGGAGGAAAATCTACAGAGCATCAAGAGAGCAGCTGGATTTTTGTTAATATTTTGCAATAGGAATGAGAGTAGATAAGAGATAGCCTTTTCCATTGTTGTGTCTTAATCGAGGCTACCAAATCCCTGAATATTTCCTTATTAATGCTTTTAATTAGTAACTGCTATTATTAAAATTAGAATTATACATACTCTCCTCAATAAACCTTTTGCTCAAAATTTCATTTACTGATCACAGGTATTCCTTTAGCATTATGAAATCAGTGTAAAATGACACAAGTGTTATTTCTCATACAGGAAAAAAAAAGAAGAAATCCAACTTATAACATCAACTCTTACAGCTACCATATTCAACAAATACATACTTCTTATACTGCAAATACGGAGCTTACTAAAAAGAAGCTATCTCTATATTCTTCATTACCACATATCCTAGCACATCAAGACTATGACTTCCTTTACCTGCTCTTTGTTATTACTGTTCAATAGACCAGGCTTCTTTTTCTTTTTTATAGGACTTGTTGATGCATCTTGTGGGGAGTGGCCATTGGAGGAATGTGGAGGGCTGGGAAACTTCCTTTTTTGTGCTGTGCGTTCAGCAGAGCCAGGATCTGTAACAGATACAACAATATAATTAAGGTGTTCAATAATCCAGGGAAAATTATTCTGTGGGAAAAAAAAAGGCCAGAGTTATTGTTTGTCCTTCACATTCCTTCACTGAGCAAACTAAACCAATCTCAACTGCCTTTTACCCAGTCACTCACAAAACTGGAAGCACTCCTTTTAAGTAAATTCTCTACAATCATTCAGATTAACATGTTTTCTTTCCCCAAGAAATTCTGCCTATTCATCTCATCTTACATTTTGGCATCTTTAAAAACATATTAATTATATTCTGTAGTTTAGAAAAACTACTACTTTTTTTAAATTTATGTCCTCTTTAAGAAAAAAACAAACAAACAAACAAACAAAAAAAAACACAACAACACCCCGAAAGGTTCAGCTCATTAACCGAACTGTACTTTTGTCAGCTTAAGCATATGAGGCCGTTAACATTCCCAGCTTCTCCCTCACCTATAGGAGATGTCCTGGAACTGCAGTAGTTTTTAACTCTGATTCTGAATCAAGTTTGGGCTGAAAACTGAGGCAGTTCAGATGCTCATTTAGAAGTGAATCGGATGCCTGCCTCAGAAGCAACGACGCTCACTGGCGGAACTGGCAGATGGTTTGAGAAGGTAAAATTTCCGGCATCTGATTTTAATCCACTGCCACATGTATGTCAGGGCCCTCTGTCAGCAGGCCAGACTAGCCCAGTGTGCCATCTCCTCCTAGATCCCATTCCTCCTGGGCAGCACAGTTCCCTACTGCCTGTATTAATCTCAAGTAGCTCCCAGGTCTGTAGAGAGATGCCCCTAATCTGCCTATGCAGCCTTTGGTGTAAGAGTGGTACAGGCAGAGCATGACTGACACTGTCAGCATCTCCAGACTTACCTCCTATTGCACTGGCAGTTGAAGGCTGAGACCGATATTATTACTTGAATGACTTGTTTCAGTTCAAATAAATGGCTCCTTCAGGGCCAAAATTTAGATTAATCTGACAACATAAAAGAGTTATCAGATGAACTATGTCACCTGTGAGTGTAAAAAACATGATGTCTGGGCCCTTCCTCCCCGAAACAATTACATCAATGAGAATCCTAGAGTAGACATGACCATGCTGACAGAAGACTTGTTTGGTTCAGTTTAGCTAAGCACGTATAGAAGGTGGTAGAAGAACCTCTCCCTTGGCTGGTACAGCCTGCATATATTCCTAGAGAGCCAAGCCAAGAGAGCTTTACTGAAAGAAACGCTTCAGCATCTGTGTCAGCTAAACCAAAAGCTGCCACATAACCAAAGTGATCAAACTGAAAACCAAAACAAGTTCTGGATTTCACTTTCTCCTCAAATTGAAACACAGACTATTCAACATGGGAACTGTTTGAATGTTTGAATTCAGAGTGATCAGCAAGAACAGCATCATGCCATATCTTTTCTTGGCTTTCCATTACCACGTGGCACAAAACAGCATGCTATAAGTCTTTGTTTCTTCACTGTAATCTGCAGTCCTCAAGAGGGACATTCTGCACATTCCTAAGTGAAGTCATAACTAAAATACTCTTATTGTGAAGTGCTAACCCTGCCTTTAATCCCCATTTTCCCAAAGCAGAAATTTGCCGAATTACTCTGCTGCAAACAGAATCCTGAAAGTACTTGCAGACCCCTATCATACCTGAGCATTTCTTCGCTGACTGCCCATATCCATGCACAACTTAACCCTAAAGGGGAAACAGGAAAGTACTCTTGGACCTTCTGCCATTTCACTTTCATTTCTTATTGCCAGCCACAAAGCTGCCACCAGTTCAGCACAGCAGCTTCCCCTTGGATTGTGGGGATTACAAAAAAGCTGTTGTGACACTGCATATGGTGATTTGGCTCTTGTAGGAAAGAAGAAAATGGGGAAAAATGGATCTAAAGTTTCAGTCCTTCACCACTGGCTTGCCTCTATAATGTGACTTTTCTCCTGTTGAACTACGATTTAGTCACAGCTGAATCCAAATTTAAAAAGTACCATTGCAAAAGTAATAAAACCAAAGTAATACTGATCACACGGATATATGTGCTTCAGTAACTAGTTTTAAAGTCTACTTGTATTCACAACCAGTGTAATTTTATGGTGTGGCCAAAGCCTGAGAATACTACAGATTTTCAGATAGAGTAGGGATGATTCATGGACAATATATGAGAACAAACCTGAAATACGTATATTTTTTCAACTGACAAAGTTACTGGAATGTACAGAAATTTTCCTGAGGCAATGTAAAAAGCCACTGAAGAAAATGAAGGAACAGAAAGGAAAGTGGCAAACTCTTCCAATACAGGAGAAATAAACTGTTTATAACTACAGCCCTCTCCCCCAGCTGCAGGGAGACTTACTGCCCCAAGGTACTCTTGAAGACTCCTGTCAGTAACTAAATAACAAGGCCTCTGCGCTAGAGACGAAAGCCTCAGGCTGTACTACTTTTCACTGGAGCAGTCTCAAATTATATTTCACATAGGAGTGAGAATCTCATCTCTGTGTGATTAAATACTTGGTATCACTGCACAAAAAATTGATACACAGGCTACTATTATGAAATTGTTATAAAATATGTAATTCATTCTGGAAATCTCATTTTGAAAATCATTTTCTATTTACATTCAGAATATCTGAACATGCAGCCATTTATAACTGTGACAAACCCCAAAAGACCAAAACCTACACAAACTTACAGCAATGCACACATCGTACAAGTCAAATTCTCACCATGAAGCAGTAGTCTTGCAGTATATGTTTGTTTTTTTTTTCATACAGCTAGAAAGATCTCCACGACTAGCTGTCACTGACAGGGGTAAGTCTGCTCCCGGCCCTGATGTCTATCCAATTCCTTAGTAGTCTAGTTCAGGGAGCTAGGCAGGTAGAAAACTGCTTCAACAAGTTCTTAACCAACTTGTAACAGGGCTGATGCACTGTGGCAAAGGGAACATGAACTGAGGAAGGGGAGAGTGAAAAAGCTCCTTTTTTAGTGACATCTGAAATGAAACCCTACATGGAAGTCAATCATCTATCACAGCTAAATGCTGTAAACAGGTAACCAGATAAACTAGCAGAGAAAACTGACCCAATTAAAAAAATATTTTCCAAATTAATAGACTGAGAGAGCTCAGTGAAGATTCTACTGTTCTCTAAAGACAGCAAGTGGGAGTGAAGAAAGAATTGCATCAGCCAAAAATAAAGCTGGTCAGATTGTGGAAGTATAATCTGGAAATACTCAAAAAGTTCTCCAGAAAGCCTTGAAAGCCCCATCTTAACATATTTATATAACAAGGTTAAAAAGAAGTCCATAGAATTGGAACAGAACCATAGCATGATGCCTCTTGTCAGACTAATTAATACACCATATGCAGACGACTAAATATACTAACATATCCATGGCCTTTATTCTTTGCTAAATAGCTATCATCTGCTCATTCTGTGTTTTCAGATTCCTTATATTCTCTTTAAGCCATCATTCCCTATTTCCTATTCTCAGATTTATGCCTTCTTATTTTCATCCGAGCTAGCAGAATTTAAAATCTCACCTTGAGTAAGACTGCTGATCTACAGCTTAAGCAGATCTAAAACAGAGCTGCTATAGTAACCTGCATTCCCCTCTTCCCTTCCTCACCCCATCAGATGTCTATACATACAACTTTTTGCAGACAAGCACTTGTTTGTAATTACATGATTAATCAGTTCATGTTGCAGACAAAAATTAATACTACAAAAAGTGACTAATTCTCAACTAAGCGGCTTCTTAATGGGACAGCATAAGCATCAGTGCCAGCATAGGAAAGAGATAAAAGTGTATAGGTGTAGGACTGCACTGCTCTCCCTAGAATGGCTCTTGTATTGCACATTCTAAAACGCAAGAGGCCTTAGCCACGGCTCCAAGCTCACTTTCATTATGCCTCAGCTGACAGCAACGCTGGCTGACAAAGCTCTGCATTTCCTGTGCCTAACTGCTGTGTTCCTGCCCTCTCCCTTACAGCAACTCTGGCACTTTATCAAGCCATTCAGCACACTGAGCTAATAGAAAACTATTTGCATTTTATGGTTTGGTTAGTTTCCTGCCAGCTTAGCTATGGAAGGAAGTGGACAAACCTGCAGCATCCAGCACTTCAACTAGCTTAGGCTGCTTTGAAACCTCCACCTTACTCAAACCAATTCAAAAGGCTATGTTGACACCCTTACTTATGGTAAACATCAAACAATGCACATTTCAGCTTAACTTAAATTGAGTTGGAATTGATTTGTATCAATTAAAATTAAGCTGCTTATGCCTGAACAGGAATGTTTATGAAGAGGTCTCCATCCGATTAACTCGTTTTAAAGCACTTCTAAAGAAAACTGCAAAAAAATAATTTGAAGTGACCTTCCATATATGCATGGATAAACTACTGCTGAGCAAGTTAGGCTACAACCTTGCAGCAGATCAGTCACTGATTTACTTCCTGAGCAAGCTTCTCAGAGCACCAAGAAATGCAAACAAATCAAGCAGAGCAGTATGTGATGCAACCCTTATAGGTTTGTCAATAATCATCATATACATTCTTTCTAAGAAAGAATTCTTAACAAGTCTAATGTTACAAGAGGAAACAAAGTTTCCTGTCATATAGGTTTAGAACCTTTAGAACCTTGTTGCACTTCTGCCTTACATATTGTATAACACCTGTTTCAAATTTGTTTTTAACTTTTGTACTGCAGAAACACTGTTCTCAACTAGCAGAAACTTACCTCAATTCAAGTTACAGAATCCCAGAGAGATTCATTCTAGCTGGCATATAGTGTGACCAGTTATCATTTAAAGAAAATGACATTTATCTGATCAACTCTCACCAGCTTCTATATACCAAACTTATCAAACTACATGTTCATAAAAAGTTCTACCACAAATTCATAAAATAAAATGGAAAAAAAAAAGGCTTATAGGTAAGTCTAAAGATTTCTTTAGAATGCACATCACTTCCTCACTGACAAATAATAATAATAAAAACAAACCAAGAGTGTTTGGGTCGGTTTGTTTTTGTTCCAATGGTGCTGACATGACTTCTGCCCAACATACATGTGAAAGTTAACACAGTAATTAAAACAAATCAATAGCTAATTAAATAACTAGCTATTCTATCAATTTCATTAATATCATTCCATTAATTCCACTTCTGTTAGTCTTCATCTTTACCTTAGTGATATTTGCCCAGCAAACACTAACGAGCACTAAATCTAAACTAGCATTGTGATGATTCTGCCTTTTCCTTCCAAAACTTCCTTCTCAATCAGGGCCTGCCTGTAAACCGGTTCAGGGAGCTGTATGGACAATATAAAACATAAGACATTTTCTGCCAAAGTATGTTTTTAAAATCTTAGAAAATTCAAATGGCTGCAATTTGACAGGCATCTAAGAGGAGGTAGTGCGAGTACAATCCTGGGCGTAGGAAGGACCTCAAATTCCCCCTATTAGCAGCAATAAGACACTGACAAACAAGACCAAGAGGCAGAGCAAGGAGAAAAGGACAAGAAGAAAGGGGCCATAAGGGCAAGAATTTAACAAGACTATGACCTCTGTAGTAGAAATGTGAAGAATAAGTGGGTATGTGCCAGAATTTAAACAAAACTGTATTACTCCTTACAGTATAGGAGTACATTCCTATAGTTTTACAGAAATAGCTTTTCAAGTAACTGAGCCATAAAAGTCAAGTACAATGGCATATGGAAAGACATTTGATCGCAAATTACAATGCATTGAGGTGGACACTTAAGGTCCAAGCATTCTGGTTGAATTGCATTTCTGTGTGCCCACTCCAAAAAAAACAGTGGGATTATTTACATTAATATAAGCAGTTATATATTAGGCTTTCTCTGTACGGAGAGATAACAGCATTTGCTACAGTAGTTCAATCACATGGAAAAGCCCACAAAACAATCTAACATCTATAGCTCATGTCAGGGTAATAGAATGAATCCATGACAGTCCTTGAAGTAAGTACTACTCACTGGACCATTTCAGTGGAAACAGAAATGTTAGTGTTTTTGTTTGCTCTGAAGGTAGTTAGGATTAGTTACTATAGGAAATGCTACCTTATTATGTTATTATTTACTCCTACATTGCAAATCTAGAAGTACTTCAAAGGAAATCAGTTATCAGTGAGATGACATAAGACGCTGACATTTTTTCAGAGACATAAATAAAGTCTGTTGTTCATAAAACAAAAATAATAATATTATGGGGAAGTGGGAGTAAATCACAATATATAATAAAAACTAGGTAAAAAAATTAAAAACTTATTAAGATATAATATTGTTCTCCATTAACTAGGCCAATAGCTGTTGCAAAAATTCAAGTCCTTACTCCAGATTTTGCCATGGCAAATTACACAGTTGCACTATCTTGTTTTACACATAATTCTTCTGTGCTGTAGAACAGACAACATATTCCTCCTCACTGACCTTTGGATCGAGTAGAGATATCCATCCCCTCCACCACCTCCTGCTCTGCCTTTATTTCCTCTTCAGCCAAGCTGCGAAAATTAAAAGAATGAATCAGAACAGTGTTGGACTGCATTATTCCCATGTCCAAATGTATATATAGAAGTTTGAAAATAACATTGTCAAACACAAGAATGTTAAGATGAAAGCAAAGGTTTTCATTTCCTAGAGTTTACTCATGTAGGTAAACAGTCCTGGTCCACACGCACGCTGCATGTTACCTGTTATAAACATAACATTTTCATAATACAGAACACGTACTGAAGATTAAGACGAACAGACCCTGGGTTCCTTATACTTCATAATGGTCTCCATAAGTTGTGCAGACAGACTCCCAATCATGTTTAAATGTTCAGCAGCATCAGTGAACAAATTAGCAAAAGGAACAATTTATCAGCATGGAACAACTTGCAAAATTAGAATGCAACATGCAGTTCCAACAACTATTAAATAGTATAAAATATTTTGAAATTAGACTGCATAACAAAAAAACACAAATATTTATAACTTACTGACATCACAACAATTATTATCTGCAGCACAGAATAAATAGAACAGACTTGCTATCATTCAACCATTTGTCAATTTTAAACATCCAGTTTTATTTTATTTCAGGTAGGATTAAAGAACAATGAGATGGCACATGACAACTGACTAGCTGATATTCTGCTTTCTGCCAGTGACACCAGTCAAGAATACTTATCCATATTTTGCTAGTTCAGTAACTCTGGAGAAGGAAGTTGGAAGGGAGAAGAAAAAAACTTCAACAGTTTTTGAGAGCTGACTCTTATAGATGAAAGATAAAGCAAAGGATTGAAATAAGCCCAAACTCAAAATCATAGGCAAATGCAGTTATGGTGCCTAAAGCAAGTATCACAGCTGTCCATTAAAATTACAAGAGCAAAACAGTCAAGTAGGATGTAGACCTTATCCTCAGAAGCGAAAATTTACTGTCTAGTTTGTTAACATAAATTGTCACAAATACCATCTACATTAACATGTCAGACTGCAAACTACTGCTGCTGTGGGGCTGACGGAGACTCTTCACCTACTGGGAGAGCTATTCTAGCACAGGGACAAAGAAAACAGCTAGAGACCTCTGCTTCAGCCACTGTGGAAACCTCCCTGAGACAGTTAATCAAGGCTCTGAAAGAACACTGAACATTTGGTTATATTTAAAACAGAAAAACTCTCCAGGTGGACAAACAGTTTATATTAGCAAGAGTTTTGTTTAAGTTAAAACAGTTCCCTAAAAAATGTAAAACTTACCAACAGAAAGACTTTTTTGACTGGCATTTGTCAAAACTACTTTTAGTCAGCTATAACGTACCAGAGGGGCTGGGCTGAACTACTTTCACACTTCTATACAGGACAGTTACACCAGCAAAATGATTACGCTTAAGTGAATCAAGTTCAACGTATGGAAGACCCACAGTGGAGAATGTCCATCAACCCCACAAGCATTATTCTATATTTCTAATGCATCTGTATCAATAATCTACAAATTAAGCTGTTTAGAGTCATAAAACAACAAAGTGAAATCCTAGTCTGCTGTTATCATATCTCCCAACTTGTGGGCCTTGCAGCTCTTCCAAGAGCAAGGAAGGGCACCCATATGACCAGAGCTCTGGCAAAAGCATAGCAGAGCTGACCACACTACAATGCTTCCCAATTTACAATGCATGGACAGATCAACTTTACTTGCACATTTGTTGCACCTTTTCACAGAAGGCCTCCAGCAAGAGAACCTGGCAGTGGATTGCAGACACCAAACATTTCATGCACCACTTGCCTCTGCCCCTTCTCTTTCCAAGGGTTCCTAAGAAATGGAAAGGGATGGTCTTACAGGATGAGTTGACCATTCTCTTCCCATGGTGCCTTCTCTTCCACCCCCCCATCCCTTTAAAACCCAATATTACCACCAAATTGTAATAAAAAAAAAAATTAACTTGTCAATATACAACAATATACACTAATCCTATCAATAAAGAGGTAAGCTAGCTGTACTCATTACCTGCTTTTAAGATATAGATCCAGGTTCAGCCACAGATCACAACACACAAATTACAAGACTGTTTGAAAAGTCTCAGGATCATTTTACACAGGTTGCTTCTAGCTGGTATCGACTCCCCAAACCCTGAGTTTATGTTCCAAAAACCAAGTGCTAATTTTAACTCAATCAGTACTGTGACTAGCTCTCTGTGCAGCTGTATGAACGACAGTGCCATACAGAAAAAAAGGAAATGGGAGTGCACTGCCTGTGGGGAAGGGGGTGAGAGGAAAGAGAAATAACCCCTTTGACAGCAGCTCATATTAAGTTTCATTAAATGAATCATGACATTACAAACTCACCCAAATGCAGCAGGTAGTATTTTGTTGGAAGGTGATACAAGGAGGATACAGTAGTTGCTACAATCAGGGCTGTGCAAGCCTGTCGGCTGGGAAGCACTGCCAGATCAATACAGCAACAGAGTAGCAGAAGCTGTTTGCACCTCCCTGACTGAAGTAGCAGTGGATGTTACACAGTTGACCCAGGAGTTTTGCCCCTGAGGTCCAAATCTAGCACTGGGGGAATATTACAGGCCAGGACTCCTCCACAATAATTGCTGGATGTAAGGTTTCTTCAGCTCTGCATCTGATTCTCCACCATCTAAGATGGGAAATTCAATCAGCTTCTTTATCACCTTCTAAAGCGTTATTTCATATATATATATATATATTCATGAACAGATTAAGAAAACATCTTAACATGACACTTTTCTGATGTATCATATAGAAGTCAGACATATGTGATGTCTGAAAATAGCTTCTCCAAGGTGTTAAGTTTAAAAGAACCAAAAATGCATTCTCCACTACACACAAGCGCTCTTCATTTCAGTTTGTGATGGTGGTACATATATCATATGCAAACATATACACTCCCCTGCTTCACTCATAACTAAAACATAAGTCAACAAATACCTGCTATATTATGAAAATTGAGCCTCAGAGAACAGACAGCACCTAGATTTTCTGTTACGCACCATCTCACTTGATTATTTAAAGGTACAAACTGTGTTCTTAAGTATGTAAGAAAATTACTGAGATTATTCTGAAAACTTCAAAGAGTTGTAGAGACAGAGGAGCTAAATAAATGTATTAAATACCATTACAAAAGACACTTAAAACTCACCCTGGCCTTCAGAAGCCTCTCCCATTGTTTTAGTGCTTTAATGTACTACAGCTTGCACATGATACAGTTTGAATGGGGGTAGTGATGACTGTAATAATAATCTTGAGGGCTGAAGTTTACGCTAGCAATTCAGAGCAGGTTTACACTAACTTTTCCTAAGCTGAAAGATCTATTCACTTTTGCACCTCTCGCCAGTAAGAGCAATATTCTGAAAATGCTTTAATCACAAACTTCTGAACCCAGAAATTTCATTATCTAAAGATCTCAAGTGAAATAATTCAAGAAAAAAAGACAGGCCCATAACAACAGCCTACTATTACCCACAACAAAATAAATTTAAAAAGAGTGTCAAAATAAGCGCAAAAACATAGTTCTATGGAAACAGTAACTGTGTGCTCAAGTAGACAATTCCATAGAGTTGCATTTGGAAGAGATTTCATTTTTTGCAGGACTGAGAGCTGTTCTTCCAGTCAGGATGCATGACTCTCATGCATGTGTATCCTCAATGTGATGCCCTGAGCTTGCGGATCAGAAATGATACTGGTATATACTCAGTTAAGCACCTAGCTGAGTTTAAATCATTCTGAGAGCTGCCCTTATTTCCCTATTAAAATTAATGTACACAGAGGTACATATTTTAAGAAAATAACTGAAATTCAAGCTTTGCCAGTTTCACTGTCAATTGACACATATTAATCATGTAAAACTTCCAATAATCAAATTGACAGGATTTACTAAAAATTAAATTTTGTTACTTAATGTTAATACTAACTTGTTTCACACAAATTTTAGCACATCTGAATGAGGGGAGATGGGGTGCAGATTATTGTTTTGAGGGATATCTGGGTACAAAAAGGAAAAAAAAAAGGATTTCAAAAATACAGGATTTATTGGTCTTTAAATGCAAAAGGAACTTATCTGCAGGATACTTAAAACATTTTATCCTTTAAAGTAAAAACAGCTTTTTTCTAATGAAATCCATTTTTTCAAATCTCAGAGCAATAGGAAAATCATTCCTGCATTTCTCTTTAGGAAAATCATTCCTGCAGCAGTAGTACATACCTGAAAAAATGTACATGAATAAAAATATTTAAAACTGCTCTAATTTATATTAGCTATGAAGAGCAATTAAAAGTTGCGGATGAACTACTGCACCTTGACATTTAACCAAGAAAAAACTGACAGATATGGAAAACCACTCAAAACAGCCAATGCCCACAAACACAGACTAGATCTACATATGGGAATAAACATGTTAATTTAAATTTAAGAGCTATATATTTATGGAATTATTCTTTTCTTTTTAATTAACATAAAACAAAAACTACTGATTTAAGACTATCAGCACTAAAGCTGAATTTCATCCTTCAGATAATTCCTGTCTCTCCCACATCACATTTGTGAGTAGCAAATACAAATAATGATTTCCAAAAACTGCATTCAATTACAAAAAAAAAAAAGAAAAAAAATATTTGCATGCCATTGCTGAATAAATAGCAGCTTTGTATAAGCACTCACCTATAACAGTCTCTTACTCATCGGTAGCTATGCTATTTATGCAGGATTCTTAAAATGGCGTCTGACAGCACTGCACTGCCTCATTCCTGTACTGTAGCTAAAATGGTAGCAGTTTATTCAATAACAGTATCTCTTGTTTAAACAGCAGCGCTATATTCGAAGCAAGCATCTAAATATCAGAAATGGTAAAGTATGACAAAAGGACACCTGACATCCAAATGTTTAACTAAAAAGGCACAAGACAGGGAGTTCTGTGAAGTCACAGGTTACTAAGGAAATCGCTCAATTTTAGATCCACTCTCCGGTTTCAGTCTCATATTTTATGTTTCCTTTTGCAGAAGCCCCTGCGAAATGCTCAATTTGTATTATTAATTTAACATAAACAAAATGCTTGTTCAGCTATATGCATATAACAATGTTTAAGCAAGCTATCTCAGATAAAATGCAAAGTTTTTTTTCAACTTAGAGATCACTTAGAATTTTCATAAAACTTTATTCCTATTCAATGTACATTTAAACTAACTAAAAAAAAAATCAGGGAAAAAATCAGGGAAAGGAGGGAAACCTTTGGTGACACTCATTCTTTCATAGGCAATCAACTATAGAGCTCAGGCCCAAGCAAGGCAACAAGAACATTTAAAGATTTCAGAACCTAACAACTTAATTTGAGAACAATCATGTTTGAAAACATAGTTTTATACTGGATATATTAAGGATATTAACATCCTGTTACAACATAGCTTTAATCCCTAAGTATGAAACCCAGATGTCACAACAACTGCCAGTAAGGGGTTAACTTCCAAATGACAGACAAGTTCTATCAAAATAAAAAGAATTCAGCTCCTATGCAGCTATTTCTAAGTCAGACTTTAACCCATGCCTACAACATATATTTGTTAATAAATACAGAAAGAAAAAAAAAATTAAAGGGCCAAGCTAGATAGCCTAATACATTGGTTTTCAATTTGTGGTTTGCAGACCCCCAAGTCCACAGACTATTTCTAATGGGTTTGCAAACAATAATTAAGTAAATCAAACCTATAAACCTATTCTAATTGGCTTAAATTCACTAGAATGGGATTCATATGCCCATGAGAAAAATGTTAGGGACCCACAAACAAGAAAATCTGAAAACTGCTGGCCTAGTGAACTGTACAACATTACATTTGGACAAAGGTTTATGCCCAGCCTTCAAGATATTTAAAGATTCAAATTAATACTCTGAATTCCAGACTGGGAGGAGGGGATCTTTTATTGAGATTTATCACTCCTTAGCCAATTACATTGGAGTTGCCCTATTACTATGGAAAATTGACCATGACCTATTTCTTTTCAGCTATTGGATCCACACGGCCAATACGCTTGAAAACAAAGAAAAAAAAAATCATGCAATACTGATATCCCACAATGGAAAATGGCTCATACAGAAGAGCCAAATGAAGTTGTGGGCACTAATATAGAGATATAAATTTCTGATTTTAGAACATGAAGTCCCTTTCAGTATACTCCTATTTAGTTTCACTTTAGGGGTTTGTATACATTTCAATACTCCTGCCTAAGAGTGGGGGGAAGTAGGGGGAAGTGTCACATTTGCAGTGGTTTATACTCTGCACTTTTTCCATTCTCAGGATGTTAAGTAGTGTCATTTGCTTTAAAAGTCACTGAGTTTTTTTCCTAACACTATTTAGCTTCCAACTAAAACAGTTTGTCAGCAAAGAATAAAAGAGGCATGTAGCTTTCAAAAAGCTACTGTTTTCATCGTAATTTATAATCCAGATCACTCCTTTGTTTTTCCCCCTCTGCATTCTTTGCCCAGCTAATTACAAAAGTAACTGGATGTTGGCACTAAATAATAATGGCTAATCATACTCAGCCTGGGCAATTCAAATTCCTCCTTAGTAGCCAGAAAATTTAAAGTGCAATTATACGATTAACTCCTAGTTACATTAGAATAACAGCCATTTACTATAAGCTGAATAAACCTCAGGTACATTGCTTCATACATGTTCTGTTTAATTGTGATATTAAGATCCTGTCCTGTAAAATCTTGAGTAGAAAATACGTGCTCTTTTCTTCCCCTGTGCCTATCGCTTAAACAAAACTCCCCATTCTCTGTCCTGAACAGTAGAAAACAGCACATAGTGCGTCTTATTATGCAATCTAGGAAAGTGATAACATCATACCTTGACAAAGCACCAAAAATATAAGAAATTCTTCAGCTTGGCTGAATTTGCTTTACTTAGATGGAACAAAGATGGTAGAAATTTCCAGAAGGCCTTTCTCAGTCTTGCTACTGCAATTGTCAATCTTTAACCTACCCTCTGCTTCTATTGGCTCGAGCACTCCCTGGAGCAGCGCGATTGGGCTGGTCTGTAAAACAACACTGCTGTCTCTACCTTGCTCAGACATCTTGCTGCAATGCAGACATTTATTTTTTTGTGAACTATAAAAGAATTATATCCGAGTGATTAAAAATAGTGAACTTCAACAGACTCATGATGCTCTGTTTCATTACATGAACAAGGGCAGCTTATACAAATATGCTGCACTGTCAGCAATGTGTCTGGAGGTGCAGATTTGAAACAGATCCTAGTTTAACAAAACCTGGGGGAGCCATTTTAATACCAGCTTTTTGATTGCAGATCACTTGCTCCTGCTTCCTCATATTAAACAAACATGATGTCGTACAATATTTAAGACTCACAGCAAACTGCTAATGTGTATGAACTACTGCTATCAAAATTATGTCCAAATGTAATTTCTGTTTTTAGCAACTGAAGAAGAAAAAAACAGAATTAACTTCCTCACTGGGTTAGCACCTATCTCTATGCAGAAAAATGCAATAAAGGTGCATATAAAACTCCTAACACATGCAACTCAGTGGTACAAACCTGCAGTGTTTTAGGCTGCAAACTGAACAAGACATGGGGGGGGAAGGGAAGAAGCAGAAAGAAGAAAAGTGAAATCTTCAAAGAAATACATTCATCCTGGCAAACAAGTAACCAGAGGTATATGGCTAGGTTACAGAATGGTCTCAAATACAACTTTCATAGAAGGCTGCGATGTAATTATTAGTGCCTTGTAACAGTCATTTGCAAAGCCACCTTAAAGTTTTTTCTTAAAATCATTAATGCATGTGGGTTACAACTACACAAAAATTACATTAAAAGCACCAGAGAGCATCTCTTCTCTGCTTTCATAACTGTACTGGTGTTCAGTGAAAAGCATTCTGTTGTTAAAACAAGCATGCAAGTGTTACAACTGAAATGTCAATAAAGGGCACAAAATGTTTAAAATTAGTTATAAATGAAGCAAGTTTATCTCAGATTATATTCCATATACTATCAAAAACACATGGTCATTAAGCATTATTTACTTAACTGTTTAAGATCATTTCACTGCTGAGAACTAGCACATTCATCACACCTCAAAAGCCTAAGGAACAACCAAACCGTGCTCTGCCCTACAAGCATGGTAATTAAGGATCTATGAACAAAGACCAAGTAGAATATTTTTCACTGGCCTTAGGTAAACAGGAAGTATAAGCTTCAAACTTTAGAAGTAAATTATATATATATAAAAACCCCCAGTGCATTCAAAATAGAACAGTTTACCTGAAAAAAGTCCCTTAAAACGCATAGTAAACAGATCTCCAATTTTTTTTTATATGACTAACGACTAATGTTACTTCACGTTCTGGACTATATGACCCACTAAAAACAAAATGTTTTGAAAACTATTAAAAATGTTCAGAGAGCAGCATGCTGCTTACTTACCAACTGTTCAAGCACCCATCTCATTTTTCCAGTTAAGAAGATACAACAGGCTGGCAGATTTGAGAATTGATCAAAAAGGAATTCTTTGAAATAATTACGCAGCATTAAACCAAAAGTTAAAAAAAAATAAAAAATAAAAAAGGTAAAAAAACAAGAACGAATAACATGTATTACTGTCATGAACCACATATGATTTTATATCCTCTGGACTCCACAACACAGAACAGTGGCTGATACAGTGTAAAACAAAAAGGCACAGATAAAAGGTACATTAGTTTATTTGAACTATGTAAAATAAGAAAGCTAAGAGTTCAAAAACATTTTCCATAAAGAAACAGATTTGTAAACAGATGTATTGCTGCTTTTTACTGAGCAGCAACCTATTTCCAAAATCTGCAGCATAAAAACTCCCTTTTAAAGGAACAAAATATTAACCATACATTGTCCCTCAGAAAGAGAAACACGCTGTATTAATTATTCCTGCAAGAGAAAAAGTTCAATAATCATTTTAAGTTAAGATAAACTGCACAAAAAACATGATGCAACAGCACACCACCACCTAGGCCCAATATCTACAATCTGCCATTAGCACTTTTTGCTGATGTCTAGGTTTTTAAAAATCCCATATTTTCACAGAGATAACTTATCTTAGCTATTCCATTCACTGTTTAGAAAGGTAAACTTGCCTGTTCTTCTGTCTGCCATTATCCCTGCTTGACTCCCTGTAGGGCAGTTAAATGCATCTGCTCCCTAGCTTCCATTTTCTCTTCAGCAGGCATGTGACACAACAGACAATAGTGCTGGCAAACTGCTCAGAGACAGAAAGCTTCTTTGGAATACCAGGATCTTGATAAACTCTAAAAACACCGTCCTCCTGTGAAGAAGTAGGTATGCCAAGGCTTTGCCAGTCTGCAAAATAAAGCTGTGGCTAATGGCTACTAACCATGTGACCCAAGAAAGCAAATTTAAACAGTTTCAACTTAATAAAGTGCTGTGGTGTGAGTTTTGCACAACAAATCACAGAGAATCACACTCTCAACCCACAACTCATAGGTCTTAGAGAAAAAAAAATGTAAAAAGTAAGGCTTACCTCTGTGGATGCATTGTTAACACAGTGTTATGTCAATACTTATAAAACATGGAGGACAGGCTCTCAGTACTCACACAGAAAGGGCTTGGCACTTCAGCTTGATGATCTGTCTTCCTAATAAAAGCTAATCCTGGATTGGCTACTTCGGTAAATCCGAATGTAAAGCTTCAGGGGATTGGCTGAAACACTTCCTGAGCGATTATCTTTGTGCGGCTCTGGCAAGCAGGAGCCATCCTGCGCGCAGAGCAGGCAGGCTAAGCTAGGCCCGTCTCAGCCCGGGGAACGCGCGAGGGGAGCCCCGGCGCGGGCTGCCCGCACCAAACGCCCAGATTTTCACGCAGAGGGCAGCGATCACAAGCTGCCTGCCCGAGCAGATGTGTTTCAACGTGTCCCTGCTGAAGGCATTTGGGTATTTTAAGCCTGCGGAAGGGAGAGTTTGCCCAGGTCACAAAAGCGATTCTTCCTAAATGAAAAGCTAAATTCGCTGCGCGGCTGTTCTGCAGTGCGGCTCGGAGGGAGAGACAGGCTCTGCAAAGGAAAGGAAATGCTGAAACTGAACAGACACAGGACTGGGCAAAATTAAATACTGAAATTTTAGAGAGAATGCTCCTATCCCAGAATATAAATATGTTAATACCTACTGTAGCAACCATACACCTACAATGTAATTTCTTTAGACACTGTGTAGTTTAGATACTAAGTGAAATGTTAAATAAAAAAAAGAAAAAGATCACATCTGATTTCCACAAAAAAACTATACAAAACCTATTGGTATTGCATTAGCAAATACAGTGCTGGCATTCAATGCATGCTTTCCCTGTTCACAAAAATGCTGCAGAGGCAAATCAAAAATCTCGGTATGGCAGCAGATACTGTATTCTCCGGTTCCCCCCCTCCCCGGCCCCCACCTTTCGGCCTCTGCTAAGGCTGTCAGTTAAACAAAAATCTGACTTCCGTGTGAGTCGGCTGCAGCTGCAGCTTCCTGTCTATTAACCCTGTAGGAGTTGGCACTTTTTAGGACATGGGCCCTGAAAACAAACAGATTTCTCTACGTGGTACAGCATCAGCGTGTTTTCACACAAACAGCAGTTTAATGCTTCGTATTTTTTGCTTTAGCTTTTATCTTCTTCTAAAGATCTGCAAATGAAACAGAACGAGAAAAAGGCATGTAATCTTGAATTAAAATACAGTGCATCTGAACAACCAGTTTGATCTTGGGCCAATTCCCAAGCATCTTATTCAAAAATGCTTTCATTTCTTTCTTCAAAACCCTGTGATTCAGTTTATTTTCCTAATGCAGTGAAAGTAGGAGTATTTACCACTAAGCCAAGAAGGAAGAAAGCCGTATCTCTAGACGGACATTTTAAAGGCCAAATTTTTAGAAAGGCCCCGACCAGCCTTTACATTTTTATGTGTATGTACATTGTATTTGTATGTGCTACATTTGTTAAGTAGTTAGGCATTATTCTACAGCCATCAGCAAATTACAATGGACGCTGCAGATGAAAAAGCTGATTCTGAAACATGTTGCCTTTTATCAGAGAATTATTTATGCAGAAAAAAGTTATAGAGAGATTTAATATTAATATAGTATTTAGCAAATAACAAGCTAAAATAACTAAAGCAAAACACACTACTCAATTGATTTGATGCAGAATCTAGGATAGTGCAAAAGCAACATAGAAAACTGTCTCTAACTTTACCTGAGTGCTAATGATCCCCCCAAAATAAAAATAATCCCCTGCTCCAGCTTCCACCAGCGCCTTTCACGATTTGACCATTTTTACACACAAACCTCTTTGCTTGTGAACTGACATGACTCATACCCATGCAGCTCAATAACGTTAATAATCCTACTCTGCATTGTGCCATACTGAATTCAGATCGTCTCAGAGAAACTGCCAAACCATCATATCACTCTGCTTATAATTTTTTGTGTATTTGAGCCTTAGTCTGCACCAGTGGCTTAAGAGCCCAGGGTATAAACGTTCATCTCATAAGTAATTCTGTAGCCCCCGCTGGAAGCATTTTCCCTTTTTAGCTTTGGCACCATTTTTCAGGGCAGAGAGCAGGAAGGCTCATGGATTACACTGGCAGTTTGTTCTGTTTTAGGAATGTAGCTGCTATAAAGGGAATCGTACAGACCACTACAGCAGCAAGAACACACTGGAACTGCATGACATTGAACACTTGCGGCTGTTTTAATAGTTCAGACGATTCAAGATAGCTTATTTTTTTACTGTAGATCTAAAATCCTGTGCCGCTCACAAAACAAACATAAGCTTCTAATGCAAAGACACACAAATTTTGATTTTCCAAGAAGTAAATGTATGTTAGAGAGGACTATCGCCATTTAATATTTACTCCCATTGACTGTTTCACTCTAATATTATTCTATCCAAAAAAACTAAAATCCTAATCCCTATGAAACACAGCAAGGGAGTAAAACCAAACACAGAGTATTTGTCAATGCTTTGTGCTAACCAAGACCCGGCTCTGGGAATGCAGTAATGCTGATGGTGACTGGGAACTCTGCCAAACTGACACGCTTGGACCTAAGGGAAAGAATCAGCATGAAGCAGACGGAAGCAGAAGCTGCCCTAGAAAGGGTCTAAGGTCCTATCCTCTTCATTCAAGAAAATGGTGGCCCAAATACACACCAAAAGTTTACAAACCTTCAGTCATTAGCTGCAGAACAGGGACAAAAAAAATAGAAAGTGTATCAGACAAAATATAGCAATTGTATCTTCAGCCACTGGGTTACTCTGCTAAAATTAACAAAAGAAGTCTATCTGCTCCTTTAGAAACAAATCGGGGAGAAAGCTTGAACTTTCATCCTGTTTTCTTGCCCATACGCACATTTTAAACAGGAGGTACAAATCCTGTAAAACAATACACAGGTACTTGTGGCAAACTGGGTGGATTCTTTCAACAGAAAGCCACAATTAATGCATTTCCTACTGCAGCCTGAGCAGTTCTTTTACACAGGAGTGGTGAATTTTTTTGGAGGGGGAAGGGAAGGAAGAGAAAACAAAGGAGAGAGAGGGGAAGCTAAAAAGCTTTGTTAAAGCAGAAAAGAGGGCGGAGAGATTAGATTAGCTAGTATTTGACCTTTTCAATGCTTTGGAGATGTTAAGAAACAACAGGGGTTTAAAGCAAAAAAAAAAAAAAGAAAAAGAAAGAAAACCAAGAAAAGATGGAAAGCAAGAATACAGTCACAATAAATTAAAAGACAACAGTGTTAAAAGTGCAACCTACTATATTTAGGGTCCTTTGCAAATAACTGCACCATTGTGCAAAATCTGCAAGAAGACACATCCACCAAGCATCACTGCCAAAAGAGAGGCAGAAAACAATGTTATAAGGAACTATACTACTTAACACACACCGAAAAGCCCCCAAATTAAATAAACACTAGTTTGAAGAGGCAGTTTGTATATAAGGCCTATAAAGGAACCCACAGAGAATAAAAAACACCATGGGGTGAAAACACCATTGGCAAAGAGGGAACAGTAGATAATGGACAAAAGTCCAACTTCCAAGGGTAACATTTTGGACAGATAGGCAAAAGGAAAGGAGGAAAGCCATATTCCCTAAGAACAATTGGAAAATGGTGGGGTTGGGGGGGAGAGAGAAAAAGTGTATTAGTGGCTTATAGCTTGGCCCCAGATTTCCAAATGACCGAGAATCCTAATTTCTAGAATGTTATTTTAATTCAGTTCCTTTCCTCCCTTTAAGAAGTTTGTTACACCTTCTCTCCTTAATTCTGAATCTGCCAAGGTATCATTAATAGCTTGGAGTCCACGGGATATGACTACCACCTGATATAGAATCCAACGGCAACGATCTAGAAAAAGAGTACTTGAATGCTGGATGCTGAGCACACTGCCTAAGAAGGTTGGTAATCTGTAAATTATCAAATGCTCTAACGGAGAACATGTTTATGCCAAGTTAACTGATCTAAGCTTATAAAGGGCTTTGTGGCCAGATGCACGCATGCATTTGTCCTGGTGAACAGTATCTTTGAATACTTCTGCTTCAGTTTATTTGTTCTGACTCACACTGATCACTCATTGTCTGCAGATTGAAAAAGCTGATCTTGTTTATAATACACACTGAATATCTGGTGTTACGAAAGTCTTCTTGACAGCCATTTTTAGTACACTGCCTAATGTATTTCATGTACATTTCCTCCTAAAAGAAATCTCGATTCATGTTCTGTCAAAAATACCTTAATAAAACAAAAGCCTCCCTGAGCTTTTTGTTTTAGTTTGGTTAACAGACCATGTCATCTTAAGGCATAACCCATGCTTTTCAGCCTTTTCACCCACAGTTTGAAATGATCTCTCCAAGATTCAACAGCTAGCAGCAAGGCTATAAGATACCCTGCACAAAACAGTATTTTCATTATTATATATTTAAATTATATGTTCTATATGAAAAATCTAGCATATACTTCATATCCTATTTCATCTGCAAACAAATACTTTTTCAGATACCTGGAGAGCAGCTGTGGGACATATATTGCAGATACATGTTGTAGATATACTGCATGCCCAACCTAAAGCACATTCACCATGCAGTTGAACTGCACCTGCAGCACAAGTGGAATTATCACACACACTCTGATATGTGATAACCTGGTAACACGTCCAACCCATTCACCAGACAGATTTGTGGGTATAGAGCTGTAGAGATCCTGCATGAGAATTACATACAAAATCCGGAAAGTAGTCTGTGTTGTAGCAAATGAGTCTAATTCCAAGTGTGAGAGATTCCTCATTCAGTGCTTATTCTGACCTTGCATTCTTCCCAAGAAGACAGACTCTACTATTAAGGAAGAATTACCCGGGAATGCCTATGAATAACACTAAACTCTCTGTTAAACCCACTGCCATGGTGTCTTTTTCTTTTCTCATTTTCCACCTGCAATCAGGAATCGATTGGTTATTTTCTTATACAAGAGACTAAAACAAAAGCTGGTTATCTTACAGAAGACACTCTCAGCTAAAGCTTGAACAAAATATTAAAAGTGATGGAATTACAAAAATACTGTTGCTGGAATACTTGTCCTCTCTTCTAGACTGAGAACTCCTCACAACCCAGCACTGCGCATCTAGACAATATCACTCTTATTTTTCAGCTTTCTGTTCCTAAACACAGTAAATTTACAGTCTGACCTCAGGTTTAAGGCTCTGCATACTCACACCTCTTTCTCCTTCCTATCAG